AAACTTGGTACATAGATATCATATGACACTGCACAGACCTGATAGTTTTTATGATAATATCAGTACATATTAATTACCTAATTTGCATAATTAGTTAATTTTCAGCATTTGATATAAGTACTAATCATCACATTTCAATGAAACTTGGTACATAGTTGTCATATGACACTGCACAGACCTGATAGTTTTTATGATAATATCAGTACATATTAATTACCTAATTTGCATAATTAGTTAATTTTCAGCATTTGATATAAGTACTAATCATCACATTTCAATGAAACTTGGTACATAGATGTCATATGACATTGCACAGACCTGATAGTTTTTATGGTAATATCAGTACATATTAATTACCTAATTTGCATAATTAATTAATTTTCAGCATTTGATATATGTAGTGAGCATTACATTTCAATGAAACTTGGTACTTACATACCTAATTACCTAATTTGCATAATTAACCAATTTTAAGCTTTCACTCTGATATCTAAAGTACTAATTAATCCATTTCAATGATACTTAGTACAAAGATGCTCTAGGACAATGTACAAACCTAATTAGTTTGGGGTAAAAATCTGTTCATATTAATTCCCTAATAAGCATAATAATTCATAATTTTTTGGTTCTAATCACATTTCAATTAAACTTGGAAACATAGATTTTCTGTTACATTGCGCAGACCTCATTAGTTTTACACTCAAATCTGTTCATATTAATTTTCTGATTTGCATAATTAGTTTTCAGCTAAGTAATTTCGAATTATATTTAATGCGTCTCCAATACTCTCAACACATGGGAGTTCTTTCTAAGCTTTCTTTGATTCAAACTTATCTGCAAAGTAGGTGCCCCAGTTCAAATCATAACATTCCTGTATTCTACATAGCACATGTGTAGACAGCATATAAGCTTATTTATATATAACCAACTGATTATCATAATCACATGTTTCCTTTCATCTTAGTCTCTTGTCTACTACTATTGGATGGTAGGACATTGAATACAGGGCATTGATATTACTTTGAGTGTGTGCTTATTATGTAGCAAAATAATTTGCAGATTTTCTGAATTTCAACTTTGAGGATGAATGTATATAATCCCTCAAAATTAAGTCTAATGCTCGTAATTATCAAACCACCATGTATGCATGGCAAATGTTGTGCTTTATCAAACAAAATTATTTGCTCGGATAAACATGCAAAATTTTATACTCACAAGTTGTATCGGTTACAATGGCTATGGTACAAGCCTTTCAATATTTGCAATTATTGGCCATAATACTGACTATTTTTGTATTTTTTTTGATAGCGATGACGACTCCAAAACTAGAAACCCTTACCGTTGGCTACCAGGCAGAAAAGAAGACAAAGATGATAAAAAACATAGTAAAAAAAGAAGTGATTCTCCTTCGCAGGATGGCCACATTAAAGACGTAACCAAGGAATTCTGTGACTGGGTGGCGAGTTTAGGAGGAGAAAGTAACAATGTGGAGGAAGCAACGATACACAGTTTATTTGCTAGTGGATATGAGACAAAACCAGCACTGTCAGTGCCGATACATGTAGTAGAACTTACCAATGTGCCGCCTGAACTTAGAATGTCTGCACAGATCACACCCCAGGGATCAGCACAGACTAAGCAAGGAGAAGATGCATTGAAGGACAAGGTAGGAGTCTTTAATTTGTCCTACCCGGTACTACCTTGTAGAACA